GGGCCCGGGTAGCGCGTCGTGACGGCCCTCCGAGGGAGGCTCCTTAAAATCCGAGTCGCTGAGGCTGCCTTCAGTATCCTTGCCGGCGGGGGTGGGCGGCCCTTGCAGCCTTTCACAGCCCGAAGCCCCCTTCTGCTCTGCTCCGCCTGTGGGCGAAACCCAGGCTGTCAGGGGTGCAGAGGCCTTGCGGCCAGGTTCCCGCCTGCCTTCGAGGCAAAGACCCTCGCCCCTATCTCTGGGCCCCGCGCGCGCCCCCTCCAGGCCCCCTTTTCCTTTTCCTTTTTTTTTAACTAGCTCAACATACCCTTTCCCGCATCCACCAACCTGCTTCGGGGCCCTCGGGGTCGCCCCTGTCCTCGGGCTTCTGGGGCTCGTCCTCGTCATTCTTCTCTAGGTCAATGTTCTCCTCTTCCTCCTCATCCTCGCTGCGGTTCCGCGGTGTCCACGTCATCTTGTTCTCCTTCTTGAGGCGCCGGCGAGCGTTGGCGAACCAGGTGGACACCTGGGTGAGGGTCATCTTGGTGATGATGGCCAGCATGATCTTCTCGCCCTTGGTGGGGTAGGGGTTCTTGCGGTGTTCGTTGAGCCAGGCCTTGAGCGTGGCCGTGGCGTCCCTGGTGGCGTTCTTCCTGTACGCAGGGTCCCCGTACGGGTATGACCCCAGGGGCGCCGCATACGGGTGGTACCCCAAGGAGCCCGCCATGCCAGGTGTGTGGTCATAGGGAGAGCCCTGCAGGGGACAGGCAGAGAGAGGGTGAGTGTGGTCCTTGGTCTCCACTGTCACCTGAACGCCTGAAGCTCCACTTGCCCTGGGGTCTTCGGGCCGGAGGATGGGCGGAGACCCGCACTTCAGCTTCCCCTAGGGCAGGGTTGGCTGATTCAGACCCAAGAGCAACCCCTTCCCCTTTTTAGAAGGCAGCTGGGACTCCAATTCGAGTGTGATCCTTCGGGGACCCTTGAAACTACCCCAGCCTGGACGCCATTCTAGAGGCCCCGGTCTGCCCCGGACCGGGAACGTCGTTGCCCTGTGGGCAGATCTGGCCTCCGCGGCTCTGCCCTCTATCCAGATAGAGGTCTGGGCGGCAGAGCGCGGAGGTTGGGTGCAAGGGGATAGAACAGGGAAATCAATGCTCTTTTTTCTTTTCCTTCAATCCGCCAAGAAACGAAACGAAAAGCTAAACCTTACCCCGCTCGCCCACCCTCCGAAAATTCTACCCCAAACCACCAAAGCCACAGCGCTTTTCCAGAAAGTGCACCCGGCCGAAAAAAAATCCCGGATGCACCGCAGCTCTGTCGACTTTTTGGAAATTTAATACCTCCAAATCGGATTGCAAAGATAGGATTACGGATTTGCAACATTTTGGAGGATTAATTAAAGGCGAAGCCAAACACATTTACATAGATTTAGCACACTTCTGTTCAGATTTCAGGTCTGTTTCTTTTGAACTTTTCCAAGATGGCAAAACCAAAAACAAATAAATAAAAATTGCACAGAGTCCCTGAGTTTATGTTTGAACCAAACGTCCCTCTTTAATTGCAAGGACTTCTCCCCCTTAAAACCCTTCCCGCCAGCTCAGCGATCAGAGAGACGTGGCTCTGTCAGAGCAACTCCGGAGTCCGAGGCCCGGGAGACGCCGAGCTAGTCTGTCGCCCAAATTTGCACGGGCCTCGAGGTTTGGTAGGGGTAGGGGGTCAGCAAGTGGCGCCTAGGCCCGGGTCCCTCCCAGTACTCGCCCACCCTCTTGGCCCCATGGTCCTCGCTGCCGCGGATCCAGCCTACTCACCACATAAGAGGAGAAGGCGGCGGCGGCTGCTGCCGCGGGGTCGGCGCCGTACTGGAGGTGCGAGTTGTAGCCCGGTGAGGGCGCCGTGAAGGCAGTGGAGCCGGCGTAGGGAGAGAACGCAGAGCCCGAGGACGAGCGGCCGAGCTCATCCGTGCGGGGCCCCGAGATGACGCTGGTGCTGTACGCCGGGCACGAGTAGAGGGCCAGCGAGGCGGACGGCTGGTACAAGTAGCCCTGCGGGTAGGACATGGCCACACACGGGCATGGGGCGC